TCGATCTCTTTCATAAAAGACTCTCATATTACACTTCGTAAGCACGTTTCAATTTGTACCATTAATACCGGCCCCACGGTTTACCTATAGATGATCGATGTGACCACTGGTGACCAATCAGTCATGTTACTAGAATCAGCTCGAGTAAGTGGGTTTGACGACGCTTTCAACAGCGTTATAGCACGGCCGCGTCAACCCAAAAGACGTTAAAAGATGGTACTTGTTATTATCCTGCATGTCGACAACACAGATTGACCGGCTCCTTGGTCAAGGGTAGAGCGTCCGCCTGGAGAGCTGAAGGTCCGGGGTTCAATTCCCGGCCGCGTCATACCAAAAGATATCAAAATATGGTACTTGTTGTTACCCTGTCTGACGCTCGGCATTAAGTGGCTTAAATAAAGACTGGTCGGCTCGGAGTCAGTATACTGTGTCTGAGTTGGTATTCATACTGCGGTATGGTATCTCAGTGGGCTAGCACTGTAAACTCGGTATTAGTATTGTACAAGCAGCCACAAACACACAAAACCACACACACACACAACACACACAACCACACACACACAACACACACACCGGAGTCGGTCAAAAAGTTCCAAGTCTTTCAACGATGGGCCATAACAAAGTGAACTAGTCAATGTATTACATTGTTTAAGTAGTTCATTGCAAGTGTATTTGGGCTGTTGTATATGAGTGACAGCCAGATGAACGTGATATGTGTCAAAATGAAATGGAAAAGAAGGAGCACGGAGCAGTCATCAAGTGTATTACATTAGAAAAAAATACTCCCCAAGAAATTTATGACCGCATGTCACAAGTATATGGGGGATACGTGCCCGAGCTATTCCACTGTTGAACGTTGGGCGACTATGTTTAAGGCTGGGAGAACAATGTCTGGGCGTCCCTCAGCTTCAATCAATGAAGATTCAATCAAGGAGATAGTAAATTTTATACTGTCAGATAGACGTATTGCCACTGCTGAACTTGAGGAACACACAGGTCTAAGCCATGGCTCCACTGAAACTATTATTCGTGAACATTTACAGATGAATAAGCTATCTGCTCGTTCGGTGCCGAAGTTTCTAAATTCTGATCTTTAGTGAAAACGATATGACATGGCCAGAGAAAATGTAGAGCTAATTCCGGAGGATTTCGATAAATTCAAAAAGAGATTAGTACCGGGTGATGAAACATGGGTCTACCGCTATAATCCCGAGTCAAATGGCACAAATCCACTTCTCCGACACCAACGAAATTCAGGTCTTCAAGATCAGTGAACAAAGTTATGGCCACTGTATTATTGGATGCAAAAGGTGTGATCCTTGCTGAGTACTTACGAAGTCGAAAGGCGATTACCGGTGCCTGCTATGCTGATTTGCTTCGTCGCCTGAGAAATTCTGTCTTAGAAAAGCGGCGAGATATGGTAATTGCTGGAGTTCTAGTACTTCATGGCAATGTGTGTGATGACATGTATATTTGTGTGATGACATGTATATTTGTGTGATGACATGTATATTTGTGTGATGACATGTATTTGTCTGCGATGACATGTATTTGTGTGATGACATGTTATGTGTGTGATGACATGTATTTGTGTGTGATGGCATGTATGTGTGTTTGATGACATGTATTTGTGTGTGATGGCATGTGTTTGTCTGTGATGACATGTATGTGTGTTTGATGACATGTATATTTGTGTGATGACATGTATTTGTGTGTGATGACATGAATGTGTGTGTGATGACATGTATTTCTGTGTGATGGCATGTATATGTATGTGATGACATGTATATTTGTGTGATCACATGTATTTCTGTGTGATGGCATGCATGTGTGTGTGATGACATGTATTTCTGTGTGATGACATGTATTTGTGTGTGATGACATGTATATTTGTGTGATGACATGTATTTCTGTGTTATGACATGTATTTGTGTGTGATGACATGTATTTGTGTGTGATGACATGTATATTTGTGCGATGACATGTATATTTGTGTGATGACATGTATATTTGTGCGATGACATGTATTTGTGTGTGATGGCATGTATGTGTGTTTGATGACATGTATTTGTGTGTGATGGCATGTATTTGTCTGTGATGACATGTGTGTGTGTTTGATGACATGTATATTTGTGTGATGACATGTATTTCTGTGTGATGGAATGAATGTGTGTGTGATGACATGTATTTGTGTGTGATGACATGTATTTGTGTGTGATCACATGTATATGTGTGTGATGACATGTATATTTGTGTGATGACATGTATTTCTGTGTGATGGCATGAATGTGTGTGTGATGACATGTATTTGTGTGTGATGACATGTATTTGTGTGTGGTGACATGTATTTGTGTGTGATGACATGTATATTTGTGCGATGACATGTATATTTGTGTGTGATGACATGTATTTTTGTGCGATGACATGTATTTGTGTGTGATGGCATGTATGTGTGTTTGATGACATGTTATGTGTGTGATGGCATGTATTTGTCTGTGATGACATGTATTTCTGTGTGATGGCATGAATGTGTGTGTGATGACATGTATTTGTGTGTGATGACATGTATTTGTCTGTGATGACATGTATTTGTGTGTGATGGCATGTATTTGTGTGTGATGGCATGTATGTGTGTGATGGCATGTATTTGTGTGTGATGACATGTATTTGTGTGTGATGACATGTATTTGTGTGTGATAACATGTACTTGTGTGTGATGACATGTATGTGTGTGTGATGACATGTATTTGTGTGATGACATGTATTTGTCTGTGATAACATGTATTTTACTGTGATGACATGTAATTGTCTGTGATGACATGTAATTGTCTGTGATGGCATGTATTTATCTGTGATAACATGTATTTGTGTGTGATGGCATGTATTTGTCTGTGATGACATGTATTTGTCTGTGATGGCATGTATTTATCTGTGATGACATGTAATTGTCTGTGATGACATGTAATTGTCTGTGATGACATGTATTTGTGTGTGATGGCATGTATTTATCTGTGATGACATGTATTTGTGTGTGATGGCATGTAATTGTCTGTGATGACATGTAATTGTCTGTGATGACATGTATTTATCTGTGATGACATGTATTTGTCTGTGATGACATGTATTTGTGTGTGATGGCATGTATTTTAAGCGACGATATTGATGGGTTTGCTTATCTGTTTTCCGTTCGTGCTGACCAATGCTGGTTTAGATAGACCCCAAAGAAGACACAACGCATAATCCGATGAGGTCCTATCCTAAACAGTACATACTTATTTTGTGCACTTGACACTGAGTAGACTACAATGTTGTTACACAAAGTTGCCTCCTATTTTATACACACACTGTCTCATCTATCAGTTTGAGGTCTGGGAATTCTACAGACAGTTCTCTTTATGAATAGATTATGTCTGCGTGATCTGGGCGCCGTTTGCCCTGTAAGTGATGGCCTAATAATATGAGCAATATCGGGAGTAACGAGGTATGTGTCTAACAAAGCTTGCTCACTTGTTGAGTGTGTAAGTAGAGTGAGACCTCTTTAATCCGGACCCCGTTAAGCCAGAATCCCCGGATTAACAAGGTTTCACTGTAACATTCAAATCAATGTGCTGCTTTGAAGCGCGTTTGAGAGATTGATAATATTGAGTGTGATCTAAAATGCATATTTAGCATGTGACAGGTGTTATGCGTGACATGTGTTAAGCGCGGCAGATGTTGGGCGTTGTTATATGACCTGTTAGGCAACGCCACCATTCCCACTTTTGGCTGATAGATAGCGAGAAAGATGGCTGAATGGATGGATGGATGGGCTGGTGAGTGGATGGATGGATGGATGGGTGGACTGGTGAGTGGATGGATGGACGGAGTGATGGGGAGAGGGGGGAGGGAGGGAGGGATGGGTGGGTAGGTTGGTGGATGGACGGATGGATGGCGGATTGGTGGATGGTTCGGTGGATTGGTGGATGGATGGATGGTGGATGGATGGATGGATGGGTGGGTGGGTGGATGGATGGCTAGATGGATGGATGGATTGAAGGTCGGATTAGTGAGTGGAAGGATGGGTGGATGGCTGGCTGGCTGGCTGGATAGCTAGCTGGCTGGCTTGCTGGATGGATAGATGGATGGATGGGTGTATGGATGGATTGGTGGGTTGGTGAGTGGATGGATGTATGTATGGGTGGGTTGGTGAGTGGATGGATGGATGGGTTGGTGAGTGGATGGATGGATGGGTTGGTGAGTGGATGGATGGATGGGTTGGTGAGTGGTTGGATGGATTGGTGAGTGGATAGATGGATGGATGGGTTGGTGAGTGGATGATGAATGGATGGATGGGTTGGTGAGTGGATGGATGGATGTATGTATGGGTGGGTTGGTGAGTGGATGGATGGATTGGTTGGTGAGTGGATGGGTGGATGGGTTAGTGAGTGGATGGATGGATGGATGGGTTGGTGAGTGGATGGATGGATGTATGTATGGGTGGGTTGGTGAGTGGATGGATGGATGGGTTGGTGAGTGGATGGATGGATGGGTTGGTGAGTGGATGATGGATTGATGGATGGATGGTTTGGTCAGTGGATGGATGGATGGATGACAGATTTTGAAAATGAAATTGTCTTGAATCCTTTGGTCTGTTTCGATTGTCAAAATATTTTAATAAAGGCGACAAAATCGTTTCCATAGCCACAAAAAAAACTTTGCTAAAAGCAGTGTCGAATGTACGATACCGACTACATCATGAGCATGTGTTTATGAATCGCTATCAAACATTTCTGACATGCTCCATTTATTTCCCTTCTAAAAGTTGTGTTACTGTCCATTTGTACAATTTAAAGCCAATGTATTTAGACGAGGGAAAAATACAACTACTTCCTCACCGTGTAAATAGCGTATTTATTCTTTATTTGAACTGTTCCTTCAAAGGGAGAACCATATGTTTCAGGACACTTTTTGCAATCAATCACAGTACGAGTAATGATTGCAAGCAGTAAACAGTGAGACGAATGCAGCAGAGGTGTCTAATTACTCGGACCCTCCGACGCTAATCGGGGGTGATGAACCAGGTGAGCTTCAACGTCCAGACACGTCGATATCGAGACAAACTGACCCAATCTGGAAGTCTTGCTTATAACCACGACTGTGATATTAAATCCGTGGAACAAAGCCTGTATCCCTTCGCCTGATAACGGTGATGACAATCACAGCCGATAGCTTTTCGTTCAGTCATCGCTCACGTGGGAAAATCGAAGCTGATGTGACATGCGCAGAAGGTGTGTCGTCTGCTACAGGAGCCGCTTGCGCGTGGAAAGCGAGATCAACAACGCTTATCGAAGCCGGAGGCTGTCAGTTGGAGCTTACCTGGAGCCACCTGGAGCCATCTGGAGCCATGAACAACGGTCTGAATTTGGCCTCTTGGATGTTCAAGGACTAAGGCTTCAGTTTTGAGACGGGCAATTTCGGCCACTCGGGAGCATGGCAGGTAGGATCTAACTCTCAGTACTATATGACGGGTAGTTGTCTGCATCGTTCTTGTGTTCTTGTATGTGGGAGGGGTGTTTCTGTCAATATTTGATTAAATGTAGCATGTGTCCTCTCTAAGTTGTGACAAGCTTGTTATCATGCTTTACTATTTCAGCGGTCGATTTAAGGGTTTTGACGAAAATTGATAAAGCCGAAAAAAGTCATTAGGTTGACATTGACGTGGGGTGGAGTTTAACACCATTTAATTTTTCGATCTACATCGGATTCAGTTCAAGGAAGGTTCGACGAAATGAATGATGGCTGTAACGTGAATCTCATGTAACATCAATGCTTGTCAATTGCAATGGATAGATTGTAAGCAGAGGTGGATCTAGGATTTTGAAAAATGAAGCAGGGTGACACATTATACCCTAGTCACGAAAGTAACTTTGCCGATGAAGAAGTAGACATGTTAGGTGTTTGAAAAAAGGGGATGAGCTCACACACACACACACACACACACACACACACACACACACACACACCCCACCACCACCGCTCCCACATCTCCCCACCCCCCAATCACCCCACCCCCACCCCCACCCCCACCCCTCCCCCGCCCAACCCTCCGAGTCCTGGTTAATGCTACGCTTCACTGAGTACAATGTGATTCGACATAAGAAATGCTATTTTACTGAGATGAATCATCAGCTACATGCATTATATAGAACTAATAAAGTGTGTATGTGAGGTTCTTATGCCACCAGTCGCCTAGATGACATTTGTCATCTGAACGCGTGGTATTCAATGCTGAAACCGAATACCTATGGCAGGAAATGTCACTCACTTACATGCGAGAGTTTGAGATTCCGAAGACGACAATTCTAATTTTGTTTTTAAATATATCTTCGCTCATGTATTCGCCCATTCAGTGAAACTTCGTAAGTTCGCCCCCCGTCTATCCGGAAACCCCATCTCCCGACTAATGTTGTGAACGTCTATATGTAATAACAGGATAACACTGTTACCTATCTTTCTGACGATTAATGTTGTAAAAGTCTGTGTGTAATAAACATAACACCACTGTTACCTAACTTTCTGACGATTAATGTTGTGGACGTCTATATGTAATACCGCTGTTACCCATGATTCGTTAATCCGGACACTTGTTTATTCGGAGGAATTACTCGGGCGGTGTGTCCAGACTAATGAGATTTTACTGTGCATCGTAATTGTGTTTATCAATATTGTATTATGAGTAATATTTACGATAAGTCTGAACTACATTTTGCTTACATAAATCTCAGTTTGATGGCTTCAATAAAGGTCTCATTTTCTTCGTATATCTTTGCCTTTCGAAGGTCAGCCTATAACCTTTGGTTAGAATGGCGAAATATGAAAGTACCCGTCTCGTAATTCAGTTGTTAATCCTCTGTGTTGATCGTGTCGTGTTTTTCCGTTCATGATAATCCCCAACACGGGCGCCATAGGTGATCAGGTCTCCGGGACATTTATCCCTAACCAGATGACCAAGTTGCGGTTAAGGGTTTATTAGATGAGAAGACGAAAGGATTTCATCCGTTGCTTAAGGAGTAAGTGGTAGTGTTGTAGCCGTTGCTAAATGAGGTGAGGTGAAATGGGGTTTAACGTCGGGGCCAAGGTTGTGATTGCACTTATATTGCGATGTACATGCACGGAAGTGTGTGTGACTGCTTGTACTAGTCCGGACTAATGCTGATTTTAGAGTGCTAGACCACGGGGATACCATGCATCAGTTTAACATGAATACCCCACTCAGACACAGTATACTGACTACGAGCTGACCAGTCCTTGTTTTAACGCCTTCGTGCCGAGCGCCAGGCAGAGTAACGACAAGTACCATCGTTTAATATCTTTTGGTATGATCAAACCCCGGACTTTCCGCTCTCCGGGCGGACACAATACCGCTTAACCAGGGAGGCGGTCCGTTACTAAATGAGCAGGTAGATATTGGTATAGCGGTTATTATATGGACAAGTTGGTAGTGGTATAGCCGTCATTGGATAGGCAAGAAGCTAGTGGTATAGCCAGTACTAGATTGACAAGTTGGTAGTGGTATAGCCGTCACTAGATGGGCAATAAGCTGTGTTTTCCATTACTAGACGGGCAAGTAGCTAGTGGTAAAACCAGAAGTAGATTGACAAGTAGCTAGTGGTATAACCAGTACTAGATTGGCAAGAAGCTAGTGATATATCCATTACTAGTTGGGCAAGACGCTAGTGGTATAGCCGTCACTAGACGGGCAAGTAGCTAGTGGTAAAACCAGTACTAGATTGGCAAGTAGCTAGTGGTATAACCAGTACTAGATTTGCAAGTTGGTAGTGGTATAGCCGTCACTAGATGGGCAAGTAAATAGTGGTATAGCCAGTACTAGATTGACAAGTTGGTAGTGGTACAGCCGTCACTAGATGGGCAAGTAGCTAGTGGTATAGCCAGTACTAGATTGACAAGTTGGTAGTGGTATAGCCGTCACTAGATAGGCAATAAGCTAGTGTTTTTTCCATTACTAGACGGGCAAGTAGCTAGTGGAAAAACCAGTACTAGATTGGCAAGTAGCTAGTGGTATAACCAGTACTAGATTGGCAAGAAGCTAGTGGTATAGCCGTCACTAGACGGGCAAGTAGCTAGTGGTAAAACCAGTACTAGATTGGCAAGTAGCTAGTGGTATAACCAGTACTAGATTTGCAAGTTGGAAGTGGTATAGCCGTCACTAGATGGGCAAGTAGCTAGTGGTATAGCCAGTACTAGATTGACAAGTTGGTAGTGGTATAGCCGTCACTAGATGGGCAATAAGCTAGTGGTTTTTCCATTACTAGACGGGCAAGTAGCTAGTGGTAAAACCAGTACTAGATTGGCAAGTAGCTAGTGGTATAACCAGTACTAGATTGGCAAGAAGCTAGTGGTATATCCATTACTAGTTGGGCAAGACGCTAGTGGTATAGCCGTCACTAGATGGGCAAGTAGCTAGTGGTACGGCGGTTATTATATGGACAAGTTGGTAGTGGTATAGCCGTCACTAGATGGGCAAGAAGCTAGTGGTTTAACTAGTACTAGATTGGCAAGTATCTAGTGGTATAACCAGTACTAGAATGACAAGTAGCTAGTGGTATAACCAGTACTCGATTGGAAAGTAGCTAGTGGTATATCCATTACTAGTTGGGCAAGAGGCTAGTGGTAAAGCCGTCATTAGATGGGCAAGAAGCTAGTGGTATAGCCGTAACTAGACGGGCAAGCAGCTAGTGGTATAATCAGTTCTAGAATGACAAGTAGCTAGTGGTATAACCAGTACTAGATTGGCAAGTAGCTAGTGGTATATCCATTGCTAGATTGGCAAGTAGCTAGTGGTACAGTGGTTATTATATGGACAAGTTGGTAGTGGTATAGCCGTCACTAGATGGGCAAGAAGCTGGTGGTATAACCAGTACTAGATTGGCACTACTAGATTGCACTAGCCATTACTAGACGGGCACGTAGCCAATGGTATAGCCGTCACTAGATGGGCAAGTAGCTAGTGGTATAGTGGTTACTAAATGGCCGAGCAGCTAGATGTAAAGCCGTTGCTAGATGAGCAAGTGGTTGGTGGTACAGTCGTATCTAGATGAAAAAGTGGGTCGTGGTAAAGTAGTTAGTACTCTAGTAATGGTAAAGCCGTCCCTAGATGGTTATTTGGGTAGTGGTGTGGCCGTTAGAGTGAGTGAGTTGGGCTTAGGCTAGGTTTGTCAGCACCATACCCGTGCTCGTGGGTTTCACGAAGTGATAAACGTCGGAGACCTGCATCACTTCGGGCTTTCCTCCCACATTAAGCTGACACGCCGTGATATAACTGGAATACTGTTAAAAGCCACGTAAAACCAAACTCACTCACTCACTGACTCTGCTGGATGATTCAGTGGATATTATTAAACTGTTGCCACGCAGCTGTTGCTCCAAGGGGTTGCTGGATGGGTCTGAGCCTAACTATGATGGACTGCGTTGATGGACATAATCCTTTCCGAGGTCGGAACACCTCTGCCAACCATGCTAGATTTGTTTGGATCCAACTGGTGAAGAAGGCTTCCTTCTGGTGGTGTAAAAATTCCCCCACAGTAGAAATGACCTGCCGCTCTCCGGGCGGAAGCCCTGCCACTTGACCACGGAGGCGGTACGTCACTAAACGAGCAGGTAACAGGTTTTGATATTCTCACGCCATTTATTGTCTGACATTTTAGGATGTAGTCCTTTGGAATCCCAGAAAACCGAAGCCATTACCTTGACAGCTGCTTTGTCGTCTTCCTCCGAGATGTCAGGTACTTCTACTTCTTTGACCGCTTATTAGTCTCTGGCGGATTATGTTGAATCCCAGACTCATCCAAGGTTACAAATCGTCCCACAAAATCAGCTGGGTCTGCTGAGGTCTGTCATTCTCAGTTCTTTTGTCAGAATGTTCTCGTGTTTTTTCAGGTGAACAATTGACTTGACTTTGCACGTGTTTGTGACGGGTGCCACCGGTGGGGCAGGATACGCTCACCTTTTCGCGAACAAATGATATCATTACTGTTTGATAGTGATTCATAAACAGATGCTCATGATCTAATCTGAATCGTACAATCGACTCTGCTTAATGCAGAGATTTCTATTGGATATGGAAAGGGTTTTGTCGCTTTATTAACTCTCTCATGAGACATGTCTACTGTAGTGGCTATGTGCCGTGGTGAGTCGTCGATCGTCCATTATCACATCATGTATTTTATCAACATTTTCCTTCGTGGTGCAGAGGAAAGTATTTCTGATCTTGGCTCATCTACGAGACTCTTTCTTCCCCTGTCCGCATGGATTCCCATCTCAGGGGAAAATACGTGAAAACAGCGCGGTAGCGAATATTGTCCATTTTCAACAGAAAGGAATTCTCGTCTAAAACCTCGTCAGATATACACAACGGACACACAATGTGGCTTCCCCTGTTGCACTCGCCGATGTAGTTACTCTGCATTAAAATATTCT